TGGTTCCTTCGCAGATTCCTGCCTTTGCGGCGGGTGGGACTGGATCGACCCTTGGGTCCCTTCCAGCTAGATGCACCATTATGTGATTCTTGAGGAAGTGCTTCAGAAGAAGAAAACAAGAATAACAAGAAAAATAAAGAAGTAAAAACACCAGTTTCTTCCAGTTAGTCCATATGATGGCTCCTTGGAAAGGAGGCTCCTTTCCCACTTGTTTCTTTCTTCCATTGAATCTGGGCTAACATATATGTTTTGCTTTTGACGGGGAATCCCTCATTCCCTTCTTGTGAAAATAATTACATTATTGATATTTCTTAGGTCTGGCTCTGCTGAATTCTGTTCTCGAAAGGAGGAGGAGAGGAAAACTTTGCCGTATGAAGGGAGAAGGAAGATGTCGGAAAAAAAGTCATGAAGGTAAAAGGAAAACAATAGAAAGGCTTAACATATAAGAACATTTTTTAAAAACCCACTCCTGGATATTATTACACCCACCGAGAGTGGGCTTGCCTCATCCCCGTACCACCACCGTACAGCTACAGTAAAATTATACTTGAATATTTTATTTATTTGCATTGGTAGCTAGAGCCTCCTGGCTTTCTATTTGCTGGTGAGGTATGTCTCCTTTTTCTGTTCTTGTTAGGCCATCAAAAGGCGACCAAAGCGAATGGTTGGAAACTTAATTTATTCAGATGAAACCATTGCTATAACCAGGGTAATTACTAAACACGATTTTCTCATCTATCGATTATCCACATAATCCAACCAGATCCAAAAGTGGTACACTTGCACGTTTAAATCTTAAGATAAAATGTTTTGCAGAGGCATAATAAAAATAGAGGAATTAATTTCAAAGCAAAGCCAGTGAATTAGAGAGCAGAGCTGGGCTGGTTTTGTCTAATGGAGCATCCAAAACCCAGTTGGGTCCTAGAAGACCCAGTTTGCCCTTCTCGCCCCAGCCTTAATGGCAACCCTCCTATTGCTTTCTGTTTGATTTGAGCCAAGATTACCTCTGAATTGAACAGGCAGAGCAAGAAATGGGGACCTAGCCCTGCTGTAGTGGCAGCACTAAAAGCCGTTTTGAGGTAATTTCAGTCAATAATAGATATTTTAATATTCACAAACCAGGCAACTTCACACCAGTTTGGGACACTTGCATCAGCTTTGCCAGTGTTAAAGAGAGGTGCTCTAAAGAAAAGCACTTTCGTACCATTTTATGAGTCTCTCTCAGAGTCAGGCCTCATGGTTTTCCTTTTTGCCTGCGAGTTAAGCATATCTGCAATCAGCCCGAGAACTTCAGGCAGGACAATAAAGGGGATGGCAAGGGGGGCTCCTGGCGATCCGAAGTTGCAGCTGCGAAGGGTGCGATTCTGCCTTGTTTGGTTTGGAGTGATGACCTTGGCGGTCCCTTCCCGATATATTACTCACCCACTCACCCACATCATATGATTCTTTGGAAGGCTTCAGAATACAGTTTGGGGAGTGGTTGTGTGTGTGTCAGTCCTTAAAATTCGACGTGTGGGGGGAAGATATTTAAGGCCTGTCCCCGTGTGCACGCAGTCTGGGAGGCCCATTGGCAGGAGAATAAGTGGGTGGGCCCTGCAAAGGGGGGCAAAAACCAAAGCCAGTTTGAGATCATATTACATTGACAAATACTGGCGGAATGTAATGGCGTTTTGGAAATTTTGCAGCGTTTGAAATGTTTAAGAGAGATGGTGTTCTAAAGAAAAGCACTTATACACTTATGAGCATTCCTTAGAGCATGGCTCATTGTGGTTTCCTGTTTTTTTTGGGAGGGATAATGTTTCTTAGAGATGTACAATCCCCGATATGCTCAGGCCTCTCCTGATGTTGAAATGCTCCGGGGAGACTGTAAAGTCAGCACCTTCCTCGCTCCCAGTAGGAAAAGGGGGCGTGGCAAGGGGTGCTTCATGACGCAAGCTTGCAGCTGAGTTGAAAGTGCTTAAAAGTGCCCTTTATAGGGCAAACTGACAGAAAAACAAGTTGGGGTTTCAGAAACAAGAAAACATAAATTAGCATTTCCTTTAAGTTGCAATTTGGACGCAGGTGCGTGCTTGGGCGTTAAACTACTCCTAGGATTGCGAGGTATCGAAGGGTCAGCGCGTTCAATCCCCGCAATGGCGTCAGCCCTTTGCTGCGGTCCCTCTGCTTCTTGCCCAACTTAGCAGTTCGAAAGCCACGTCAAAGTGTAAAGTAGCATAAAATGCTCTGGCAGGAATGGTTAAGGCGTTTCCGTGCACTGCTCTTGGTCCGCAGAAGCGCTTAGTCATTCTGTTCACATAACCCGGGAAGTTTACACCGGCATCCTCGTGCCAGGGAAAGCGAGTTGATGTAGCGACCAGGACCTAATATCAGCGGGTCCTTTACCTATGATGGCAAAGTTGCCCTCACTAGGCCTCGCTGACAACCTAACAGTTAAACTGCTACCCCCTTTTGGTTACTGTGAGCACCAGCAGGTTGCAGAGGAGATCTCCCATAAGGGACGCCTGCATATTTTCTAAGAGCTGCAAAGTGCCACCACAAAGATCGCTACGTAAAACTACCTCCAGGTAGTTGTTATGATGGCCAACCAGTTTCCTTCCCTGCCGGCTATTTATTCCTGTCTTGCATAGCAACTACAAACGTATGGGTGGCCTGTTTTATACTCCTACGCTTTAGTTCATCTGAAAGAAATCAGGTCCACTGATAGTTTTGTAAATGGATTTATTTATAACCTTATGTTGCGCACAGCCGTACTTATGCCATTTTGGTAAACAAAGGTCGGGGAAAACGAGGGTGTCTGAAGTGAGTTGGGCTTCCTGCACACACTTCAGGGCAGCAAGGGGGAGTTAGAGGAACCTTGTGTTCTTTCCCCCAATAACATTGGAAAGTCTTTCATCCCACTTCAGTGCCTGCCCGGAAGAGGAGCAGCACCCATACAGAGAATGGTTAGAGACATTGTCTTGGATCCTCTGGGTTTGAATGAGGGTGAGCATTGGATGGACCCCTGTTCCTAAAACCAGTGGCGCTTTCACAGGTCGTCTGGTTCTCCTTCCACCAACATCCCAATGTCAGAATAAACAGGCTTCCAAAAGTTAATAGTACTTTTTACCCTAATTTCCCCTAATTCCCTAACCCCTGGGTCATGAAGATAGTTTTGTATTGGGACTCTTCCTGAATGGCAACACCTGAGGGCCGCAGGTGCAGAAAAATCTCTCATGAGATGCTTTTCCCTAATGAAAAGCCTACTTCTAGCCAGGTGCAAAACAACCTGGAGAATTTGAGGATTGGAGTAAGAAGGCCCACAGAAGTCTAGTTTTTACTATAGGGTCAAAGGGTCAGAAGGGACGCGGTGGCGCTGTGGGTAAACCTCAGCGCCTAGGATTTGCCGATCGCATGGTCGGCGGTTCGCGTCGCCGCGGCGGGGTGGAGCTCCCGTGCGTTCGGTCCCAGCCCGTGCCCCAGCAGTTCGGAAAGCACGCCTTAAAGTGCAAGTAGGATATAGGTACCGCTGTTTGCGGGAAGGTAACGGCGTTTCGTGTGCTGGCGCTGGTGCGGCTCACCAGAGGCTTCGTCCGGCTGGCCAATGACCCGGAAGCTGTACGCCAGGCTCCTGGCCAGTAAAGCGAAAATGCGCGCTGCAACTCCAGAGTGTTCTGTGACTGGGATCCTAATGGTCAGGGTCCTATTCCTAAGAAAATTGGGGAACATTCTGA